TTTTCTTTTCTTTTTCCTATATACATCTTTCCTCTCTCAGGATCCCTTTCCATTCCTATTTTGTTTATTTCCATTTCTTTTACAGTGTGGCTTACCTGTCTGTGGGATTATTTTTCATTATTTTTTGTGGTGTAGGATTCCCGTTTTTTTTAAATTATTAATTGATATACTTTGATCAAAACATTGGCTTGTGTCTGTATGCATCATTCCATTGCTTTCATTGTTGACCTGCCTGGTCACATGTTATGTTGTGTTCATCTAGTTCTCAGTATAAGCTCTGTTGCATTCTCCCCCTATTTTTGATTAACTGATGATATTAGATGTATTGTTCCAATGTACATACATCCAAGCTAAAGTAAGACATGAGTCTTGCATGTTGGAGGGGATCAAAACTTTCCTGACTGGATCAAATGCAAGACCGCCCCCAGCCTTAGTAAATGCAGTTGATATAATAGAGCAGCGATTCCCAAACTGTGCGCTGCGAAATATACAAAGATACACGTTTTTTTTTTCTCAAATCTCTTACGAATAGTCATACTTAGGTTAGGGCACAGTGGAAAAATTTCAATTGGTGCAGCGACTAAGAAACACTCAAATAGATAGCTTTCTAGGTCATTAGTTGAGGTTCTAATTCGGTGCAGACCTGTAGCCATAAAACTGTTCTGTTCTTGTGGAAATCACACAAAATGTCCCTAGTGACAAATATGTAAGTCCTAGCAAAATCTTTCTGCAGATGAACAGTCTATGTCCCTGTGTGGATTTCAGAGCTGGTTGGTTGGTATGGTAGTTACCCCACCAGGACATCACACAAGTAATAAACACTCGGTGACACAGAGTGCCACCATGCAGATGAGGATCACCTGTGGAGAGGTCCCAGAAATCCCTTTCCGCCGTTACTATGGCTAGGCATCCCATTGCATCCCACTGCCCCCTAATAAACATGTAAAGGGTGACTTCTTTCATTTGCCTGAAATAAGTTGTCTATATCAGCAATTTTGTCTCTTGTATAAATTTCACTGTCGTTGTTAGTTCATTCAGTGGTCCATAGAATTTACGTTACACTGTTGTTTTTTCTAGCCAAAAGGTTTGCCTCAATGTGTCAAATTCGGTGCAGTCCTGGAGTACGTGCTCTGCTGTCTGCGGCACCTTTCCACAGGTTCACATGGCTGATACAACTATCTTGAATTTTGTGTACATGTGGTTACATAATCGGTTGTGCCCTGTTCTGAGGCGGTGGATGACTTGTTCAGATCTGTCCATAATAAAATATAAAGGTGACTAATTAGGGTTTTGTTGACATCAGATGTGTTGGCTCCCCAAAATACAGATAATGTAGCCTAGCTATAAACCACCCTTTTAAAAACAAATGAAGAGATTATAAAAATTGTCTATCAAATACAACCCAGGACAGACACCGGTGAAGTAACAACTATAAGGCACTGGAAGTGTTATTCGTAACAATTAAAAATAAAATAGTAAAGGATCTTTACCATGACCAGCGCAGTCTTAATGCAAGGGCCCGCTGGGGTATGTCAGGTGACTTGCCATCAATAAAAAATGTCATTCCTGTGGGCGGTTGTCATGGGGTCCCAGGACACTGCCACACCAGGACACTGGAGTGCTGTTGAGATGGCACTGACCATGTCACCATGACTGCAGTTAATTTCCATTACTTATTTTTATGTGTGTATATATATATATATAAATACACACGCGCCCAGCTCTCTAGCGTAGTTGGCTAAACCGGACTGCACTGTGACTGGGTGACGAACTCCTTGTGGTCCGGGTTCACGCCACATTTCTCCAAGATTTACGGTATTTATCATGGAATCAAGGCCGAAGGGTTGCGATATCCATAATACCGAGCCTAACAACTCATGGCTTCTGAATACTAAAAAAAAAAATTCACACACACACAATATATATATATATATATATATATATATATATATATATATATATATATATATATATATATATATATATATATATATATATATATATATATATATATATATATATATATATATATATATATATATATATATATATATATATATATATATATATATATATATATATATATATCTGTGCATATGAATGTGTGTGGTGCATTTAAAAAAAAAAAATCTATATACATATGATTTATACATATCATGCTTATCCAAATAAAGAAATGTTCAAAAAAAAAGTGACAATTTTCTTTTTCAAGGTTTATTTTTCTTGTGCATCCAATGTCAGACATTTTAACATATTTTCAGGCAGACACAAAATTGCTCTCTCAAGTGGCCATACATGCTAACCCACTTTCTTAAATGTCTAATATTTACATCTATATAAAATTAACTGACAAAATCGAAACTGTGAATACAAAATGCAGAAAAATGGTGGAAAGGAATAAAAAGACTTAAACATAAAAAAACCAAACATATCTGTACGTGTCTTACACAGACACCCCCCCCCCCCCCCCCCCTGTGTCTAAAAGAAAAAAAAGGACGAATTGAAGAGGTGGAGAATAAAAATAAATGTCTGGATAATAACTGGTAACAACAGCTATAAGCCAAAGAAGATGTCATTATATGGGACACATCCTGGGAAGAAACTGAGAATCACTAAAACAGGCACTAAAATGGGAAAGAAAGGGATTAAAGAAGCAAGGGCGTCTACAAGAAACCCTAAAACGGATGACAAAAAAAGACCAAAGGTGCTAGACTGGCTCCTATTCATGATATGGAAGGGACTACACAGGATAAAATGGAATAGACTGTGAGCCTTATGTGACATACAATGGGACAACAGGAGAATGATGATGACATGTCTGTGGGAGCCTCTACCCACACCCTGTCTGCTGTACCTTCTAAGACAGAGCTATTCAATCAAGTTTACTCAGGGACCAACATTTTGAGAATGGGGATCATCAGGGGCCAGAAACCGGAGCCCCAGCAGAGAAAGATCAAAATTACAACCTAACTGGCAATGACCTGTGGACTGTTAGCTGAAAACCCTTTCTCTACAGTATGCAAATGAGCATATGGCAGGCAGCCTAACATATGGGGGATGCCCAACTCATGAATGCTCAATATGTACAGATTTCTGCTTGGAAGACAAGAGAGTGCTGTGTTTACTAATGGACAGAGACGGATGTAGGGAAACATCCAGACAGATGAACACATGTACTTATCAGATGGTTTGTGTAACAGTTTTAATGTGAACAACCCTTTTTCATGCCACTAGGTGCCCTAGGCATATGGTGCCAGACCGATATTTTATCGGAGAGTCGCTGTGGCGCTGGCGTCTAGACGACTGCCTGCGGATCGGAAGGTCATGGGTTCGTGACCTGACGGAGCCAGACTTTTTCCCCAAAAATGACCTTGACTACCAGGTCGTCCCAGCCATGAGTGGGTACCAGGTGCGGTCTTGGGAAGTAAGGGCGGCCGCTATGATACTGATCACATCCTCCACCAAGTGCCGATTAGTCTATAAAAATATAGGTTTAGTCCTACATTCCCAATACGCCTAAAAGCGTGGAAAAGGGACCTTTACTTTACTTAGTATATTTTATAGGTCAACTAACACTCCATGGGTGATGTGGCCAACTAACACTCCATGGGTGATGTGGCCAACTAACACTCCATGGGTGATGTAGTCAACTAACACTCCATGGGGGATGTGGTAAACTAACACTCCATGGGTGATGTGGTCAACTAACACTCCATGGGTGATGTGGTCAACTAACACTCCATGGGTGATGTGGTCAACTAACACTCCATGGGGGATGCGGTCAACTAACACTCCATGGGTGATGTGGCCAACTAACACTCCATGGGGGATGCGGTCAACTAACACTCCATGGGTGATGTGGTCAACTAACACTCCATGGGTGATGTGGTCAATCAAAATCATGTTGGCTGCCTTCACTTTCCAGGACATTCCCTAGTACCAATTTAGAGCTGGGTCAGCCTGAAAGCAATGAGTCGCTTCCTTCAGATCTTAACCCACAACCTTTGGATCTGAAGGCGAGCGTCTAGTCGTTAAACCACAGCACGTTCCTTAGTTTTAATATGGACCTCTAAAAAAAGTTTCAAAATTAGTATATCACAATCTAAAGTGTGAGCCCTTGTTTGCAATTAAAGTATAAACTAACACTGGGTTTGGGATAATTACTTTGTCATGACCTTTGAACTACCATGTGGGTGATCTAGACCAGGTGATCTAGACCAGGTAATAAATATTCTAGTCTTAAAAAAAATACAATAAAAAAAGAGAGGATGTTCTCCCTCACCTTTGAACTTGCTAGTGTTAGTGTGTGCCTGGTCAATTCATTAGTCCATATCAACTCACTTGTGGTCACCTTATTTCAGCTAGCAGCAGGCTGAACATGGTCAAGATTTTAATTTTTTCTTAAAAGGAACGGAACCTCATTTCCAATAGTACAAAATGAAAACCTTGAAAGTGTGGTAGAAATTACAATAAACATGCCACTGTCTTGTAACCTGTCAATATTGTTCTTAAGGATGCCAAGAGTGACAAGCACGTGACATCACTATGCAGACAAACAATGTGACACAGAGAATGAGCAATTTGACACACAAATCACACCAGTTGGAAACTCTCTACTCCACTCTTACACTTGCTGGACTGATAGGTTGTATCATCAGTTTCGATCTTCATTCGCCGAAGGGTTTCTGTAGGTTTCACCCCTTCACTAAAAAAAAAAATATTATTACAGAACGCTGCTCCTCTTTGGTGCATGTAAAAAAGTGAAGCAGCCATCTTTAAACTATTTTGACATCACCACGTTGTGGTTTTCATTTTAAACCACTCTCCTCCTACGTTTGCTCTCATCTCTATATTTCCGACTCATACATATCTTCATCACAAACATGTATACACTTCCTAAAACACACACAAGATTTTCAACATAAAGACATACAAATCAGCCTGGACAAAAAAGAAATATATTACAAAATAATCCTTAATTTCAAATAACATCCTACAGACTACTGCAGGCGAACGCTGCGTACAACGCCTGCACGGATGCCTGAAGCTTCTCCTTGGTACTTGTTTACTGCTGGCCGATACTCTCGAATCTGTCAAAGATGGTACAAGTTTATTAACTCACAAAGTACATAAAAAAGGATAGTAAATTAATATCATTGAAATTTGCTGTATGGTTTTCAAAAAACATTCCAATCAGTATGTTAGTTAAAATGATTCAAGCTATCTACAATAAGAAAAGCTTAAATGTCACATTAATTAACATGGTACAAGCTTTTAGCCAAACAATTTTTTTTAATCTAACAGGTAAACGTTTAAAATGGTTGCAAGTCAGTGTATTAAAAAAACAAAAACCAGCATAAACCTGTTACACAGCGAGTCATTGGGTCACAAGCTGCTGCTGTATGTCTGTCAGTTCCCTCCCATTGTCTCAGTCAGACGTAGCAGACTTCATGTTCAAGACATGTTCTGTATCCAGGTTTAAGGCCAAGTTCTGTATCCAGGTTTAAAGCCAAGTTTTGCATCCAGGTTTAAAGCCAAGTTCTGCATCCAGGTTTAAAGCCAAGTTCTGCATCCAGGTTTAAAGCCAAGTTCTGTATCCAGGTGTTTCTCTTTTCTTCTTCCCCCTACTGAGCCATGCAGTGTTGCTTTGGAGAGGCCAATGGATCTTAATATATGTCCATACCACTGCATTTTCTGTCTTTTCTCTGTGGTAAAGAGGTTTGTAGTTTGCCAATGTGTTGGTTGATGATACCACAAGCTTCATATTTGTGCTGTGATCTTTATGATATACCAAGAATTTGTCCAAAAAAATGGGATCAATTTAACTGTTTTAAAAACACCTCTAAAACAACTGAAGACATTACCTTGCCTCTCCTACGGATCTTTGCCTTTCTGAACTTCTCTCTGTTTTTCACACGTGGATTATTTGGTACTGTTTTTACTTTTGGCTTGTTCTTCTCGATCTAACATTAGGAGTAAATAACAACAGTAGCTGTTAAATTCTCACACAAAAGTAAAATACAACAAAAGTAATCTGGTAATCCTAGTTTCAGCTTCATAGCAAACGGGTCACCCCACAGTTGCTCCGCTCCTGTGCCAACAAAAAACACATGCAGCTTACAGTGTCCACCATGCACTCAACTCAGAAGTATGCAGGTTAACCCTTTCGCTGCTATGGACGTCTTTTCCCGATTTCCCGTACGCTGCTACGCCCGTCTTTGGGCGTTATTTTTTTTCTTGACCCCCAGTGCTATGGACGTCCTAAGCCGTTTTTGGACTTTTCTTACAGATTTCTGTTACCTCGTATTTTATTGGCTGAAGGGCAATATACATTAGCTATATTTAGATTAAACTGACCCATTTACATATGATTAAAAGCACTGGCACGTACTTTTAGGTGTGTTTAAGGCGTGTTTTCTGCATTTTGCGTTATCCCGTTGCTTTGTTTACCGTGACAGCGTGGTCAGTGATCTGTGTATTTTGTGCCCTGATAAATATTTGTGCTTTTGGTTTATTCTACACTTAACACAAAATGGCAAGAAAACTTGTTAAAGTTGATGAAGAATTGATGGAGTTTCTGTCAAAAGTGATAGCGACGATGACTTTGAAATGTGTACTTCTGACAGTGAGCAAGAAAATTTGACTATGCCATCAGTATCGACTGCTGAAACCGGCGTGTCCAAAAAAAGCTGTTTGCCTGTCCGACGTCCTCATCGTCGGAATCAGAGAGCAGCGACAATGAAGCGCCATCAAAACGGCAATAAATTGATCATTTATCTTGATGAACCGATGATTTGAAACCAGTAGTGCATGATTTTGATGACTCCAGCTCTATCTGTATTTCTGCTACTGTAAATTCAAACAGTAAAGTCACTAAAATTTCTCGTCTTTCCCGATGGACAGACACAGATTCGGACGAACTAATTTTTTTTCTGTCTGTCTGCTAATGCTTAGAACAAAGAAACTCAAAATAGAGTATTTGAGCAAAGACTGTTTGCTAAAAACCCCCGTAAAATAATATCGAGGGACATATTTTTACTATTGTTGAGAATGTCAAACATTTCTTAGACAACAGTGCTCATGCAGGCGGCGATAGACTACAAACTTAGACACATTATTGATAGTCTGCGCACATCATTCATTATGATCATTTACACAGCGCAATTCGTCAAGCGGTAGCATAGTGTAATTGGTATCACGCTCGCCTTAGAATTGGAGGGTCGTGTGTTCAACCCCCGAAGTTTTTTTTTTTTTTTTGTTTTTTTTTTTTTTTTTTTAATTGTAAATTTTCCTTTGAGTTCCTGCTACTTTTCAGCAACGGACGACTTGAGTATTATTATGAATATTTTTTTATTATTATTTTGGTATGTAATAACATGGTGACTACAAGTAAATATGATTAAAGTGGCAGCCGTGGTAGGTTCGTCAATCAAATTTTGGGATACGGACTGGGAACAGTTCCTCCCATTAATTCCCCCCCCCCACCCGAAGGGTTATAGCTCCGTTAGTCAAGTTTGTGGAGCACCATCGTGCCTCTGACTTGTCACCACTCGGACCAACCACACAACTCCCCAGGGTAAAATTTTTTAGGTGTACAAAACATAGCCCTCACCGCGGACGCATCTTTTGCGTTTAGAGGATAGAAAAGATTTGCGCACAGCAGAGACTTTTTTTTTCACATTGCTTAGCACAGGGAGGACAACTATTTCCGGGAACGTAGCAGCGAAAGGGTTAAATAAATTAACATTTTTTTTTTTTTATTGTAATAATTAATTATAAGTAGATGAGGCCAACAACAATAAAAGAAAATTAAGAGTGATACGGCACTTAATCAGTGACCTGGCCAGCAAATGTTTCTGCCAATGGAGATAATTTTAGCTGCTTTCAAGCCTCAGAGAACAAATTCGGATTCAGCTAACAAAAGTTTTAGTCATGTGCTAACATAATGCAGCCGTGTTATGAGCAGAACTTGCATGAGAAACCTAAGGACGATCTCATTTCTGTGAACAAAAATGTCAGCTAATGAATGTGATTCTGGAGTGAGTTATCTTCATGAGCCGAGGTACAACTGTACACCAAACAAGTTATTCTTTCTGAAACTTCACAAATCAAATATGCAACCAACATAAGGTAAAACTATGACACAACTATATTTGTACCACAAAACACTTTATAAAGAAGTGACTATAAGCCGGTATTCTTATAGTCCATGCTGTTTGGCCTTGAGAGTCGTGTCTATCCACCACCTTCTGTCTCCCTATTTTCAACGCTTTCTGACACAGATGATCTCCCATGCCATGATGTCAAAGTATCCACCATCTTCTCTCTCTGTCTCACACTTTAACTTTCCTTCATTCACAATTTAATTCAGTTTTCTCCTTCCCTTGACATGACCACAGAATGTGGATTTTCTCCTGACGTGGATTATCGCTTTGCTTTGTGAGTTATTTCCTTCAAGACATCTTCATTACTCTTTTTATCTGTCCAGTTTGTTATATGTCAATAAGATCACATCTCTGTCAATCCCAATCCCAATCAACGGCTAAATATCCATGATTAACTTCCACACATCAGGATTTTAAATATACTTGTCTATATTACATTATAGAATGTAATGTTATCACTAACCTCGTATGTAACTGGTCTGCTTTCCAACTCCCCGTCCTTTTCTTCTTCATCGTTGATATCTCCAAGCTCATCATCACTAGATTCAACAGCCACCCTACAAGATAAAAATAGGCAAAAAATCTCTGAACTCTTCAGTAATGCACTATCTGTGACTGGTTATTCTCTCTGTGAACAAGTCAACATGACATGTTTGATTGCACTCCTTTAGCAGAGTGTAGTCAAGAATGCCTTAGTACCAACTAACACACAGCCACACTGAGTAAATATCATGACCTCAGAGCTAGGGGAAGACAACATAAAAGATGGAACTGCATCAAAACAATCTTAAAAAAAATTATGACAACTTAATCCTACTGCACAAAAATTCTTTTTGAAAATTGGTCATGAACCCGTGGGAATCCCAGAAAAAAGTCTTTAAACAATTTCACAGTTCACTAATAAACTTGTTTTAAATTTATTTATCCTACAGTTTTTGTTTTTTTTACATTTTCTCTTGTAATGTATAGTATGTAAAAGGGGTATTCAGTAAACACAAACAGAGTGAAGCATTCAATGAAATACATTCCCCAGGGACTAGGAAACAATATGTATCAGGGGGTTCATGCCATGACCCTGTGACCTCTGAAAATCAGACATCAACAACTCAAAACAGGAGAGAGAGAGAGAGAAAGAGAAAGAGCACTATTTTTGTTCCTCGTTCAATGAGCCCACAAGGCACAAATACATTTATTTATCTTTACCTTGCACGTTTTGTTTCGCTTTTATCCATCGACTTCTCTCTCTTCTTGGTCCCAATTTTTGAAGAATGTGTTTCCCCATTCTCTATGTCACTACCTTCATCTTCAGTCTCATATTCTTCAAGGGGCACTGCTTCATACATCTTTGCCAACTGTTGACAGTAAAACATCAATCATTACTGAACATATATTTTTATGTATAAGAAGGTATGTTTTCCCAAATGTTTTTTTTTAAAGTTTACAAGACCTCAAAAATAGGGGTCATCTTATACATGGGAAAACTCAGCTATCTCTATGTACATGTTGTCAAATGACCTGAATCCATGAGTTGAAGGCAACTTCTGGCCTCCAAAATTTAGCCTTCGAAGGGAAGAAAGGGTGCTTACCCTAACAGAAAGATGTTAACGCATAAACAACAACCCCCATGCACAGAACAGAAAATAACTAAAAACCGACTAAAAAGACAAAGCTTTTATCATTTGAAACTGTACTACTCACTTATCTTTCAACATGGGAAATGATCCAGGCATACAGCATAGACCTACAGCCTAATTGAACAGTCACAACCACAATTCCAGGCATAGACAGGCTGAAGAATGTGACCTAGTACTGCATGCAAAGACCCTTGAAGATGTCTATAACTGCTATCTAAAACACAAATGGACACAAGTATACACCGATGGATCATTGGAGGAAGCAACAACAACAACAAATGGAGAAGCTGGATCGGTCATCATGCTGCAAGATGGGACCACAGTAGAAACGTCATGTGCCTACAGAAGACTCAACAAACTACAGAGCAGCAAGCAATTACTGATTCAGCAAAAGTGCTCCAGGAAAGAAAAATTAAAAAACAGCAAAATTGTTTTTCTTTGTGACCGCATGTCAGTCCTCTGGGCGACTCAGAGGGATCCACTAAACAACATGGAGTGAGAACTGACCCGCCAGCTAAACAGACTCACAGAAAATCAAATTGCTCTCCAGTATATCCCAGTTCACTGCGGCATACCAGGAAATGAGTAAGCAGACAGACGTGCAAAAAATGGAGCAAAGGAGAAACAACACGCCTATTCATTGTCATTAAAAGAAATCAGAACTCTTATCAAAGGAAAATTGTGGAGAGAACAAACTAACAGTAAACATCCACAAGACCCCATCAGCAGACTCAACAGAAAGCAACATACAACCATTTTTCACCCACGAACAGGAAACTGCAGGCTCAGTTACCACATGCATAAAATAAAGACTGTACAGTCCCCACAGTGTGCCTGTCAAACAGAACCACAAACACCTGAGCACATTCTGCAGACCTGCACTCTCTACCTACAACTTCGAAAAGACACCTGGCCTCAAGAGCAAAGTGTGCAGAGCGCGCTATGGGGAACCATAAAGGACCTACTACTGACATGCGAATTCATAGAGGCAACCCACCAGATGGTCTGACCTGAGCATAGGAAACAGAACGCAAAGAAGAATAAGAAATGACCTTAAAATGTGCTGCCTTCTTTTTCTCCTGTCATTTAACCACCTAAATGAGCATATGCCCTCAGCCAACACATTCTGTCCTATCCTTTGATACTGCATGCAGCACACCTAGCGTCCGCTCCATCTTTTTAACTTCTCTCCAGCTCCCTTGAAGTATTTCTGGACTGCCTTTATTTCTCTGCCTATGTGGGTTCCAGTGTAAAGTCCTGCCAGTTATACTGTTCTCAGGTTTTCTCAATGTGTGTCCTATCCAACATCGCCATCCTTTTTTTTCCCTTCCTGATTCACGTGAATCGGTTTATTTCTCTCCCAAAGCTCCACGTTAGTAAAGCTCCACGTTAGTAAAGCTCCACGTTAGCAAAGCTCCACACTAGCAAAGCTCCACACTAGCAAAGCTCCACACTAGCAAAGCTCCACGTTAGCAAAGCTCCACGTTAGTAAAGCTCCACGTTAGTAAAGCTCCACGTTAGTAAAGCTCCACGTTAGTAAAGCTCCACGTTAGTAAAGCTCCACGTTAGTAAAGCTCCACATTAGTAAAGCTCCACATTAGTAAAGCTCCACATTAGTAAAGCTCCACATTAGTAAAGCTCCACGTTAGTGATTCTTTACCACTTAATCGCCTCTATTCAGTGTAGTGACCAGTGACTGAATGTGCGTAGGTTGATTATTAAATGCTGTGGAAGGAAACCAACAAATAGACACACATGTAACCTATGCTAAATATAACACAAAATGAGACCAGAAAGTTCAACGGAGGGAATGGAAAAGAAGCATACAAACACAACCAAATGTTTCGACCAAAGACTTTATCAACGGAGTACTAAATACAGCACAAACGGTAACTGGAAAACTTTAACGGACAAGACAACCAAACTAATACAAAATTAAAGATCAATATGAAACAAAGAATTTTGGGAAAATATGAATAAAAAGGGCTATGATATGAAACGAAATAAGCAAGAAGGCAAGGGCAAAAAGAGGGAGGGGGGGGGGGGGGGGGGGGGGGGGGGGGGGGGGGAAATATGAATAATCTCAATGAGTAAATGAAATAAAACTGTGCTGGATAATAATCACCTCCAGGACTAAGAATGCCTAAACTATAGATGAAACAACTTTCTAATGAGTAGCAGCTGGTTTTTACTTATTTCATTTTGTATCAAATCCCTTTATATTCACACAGTAACTAAAATACAAAGGACTGTACAGAGGAATGAGGAAAGAAGCAACAAAGATGACACAAGCAACAAAACAAATGAAACAAGAAGAAATGTGACCCTGTAAAACTGACAAAAAACACAGCATCAAGCAACAGCAAATACTTACTTTCTTCCACTGAATGATTCTTTTCAAGACAGGGTGTCCACGGCAATCTTCGTTGTTCTCAATCAGATGCAGATAGAAGGCAATATTCGCTGCCAGTCTACATACATTAAAAAAATGTGATCATCAGTGACATGATAAGACATGACATGCGAGAGTATAAAATAATTTGTTAATATTATTAATTAATGTTAATATTAATGATTGGGTTGCTGAACCAAATGTGGTGGTGTACCACAATGAGGGCTTATAATGTTCAAGGCATATCTACACCTCTCCTTTATCATCCTAGAAACAGGTTCGCTGCTGAGAGCCTGGCAAATGTAGATAGGGCCAAAGCTTTTTTTTTTCCTAGGAGAAAAGCACCCTGATATTTGATTCAAAGTCGGACTACATCTACCTCAGTGGTGAGGAAGCAAAGTCTGCTCAAGTAAGCCACACGTGTAAAACAGATGTGCACACAAAACTCAAGTCATGGAAGAAGATCAAAGTCCAGAAAAAAGACAAACAACCAGGGCTTGCCACCAGAGTTTACAGCCAGTAACCATTAGGAAAAAGTGGTCCGACTATGGAGGTCATGGCAGTACTTACATCAAATAGCCATGCTGAAGGCATAGATTTTCACTTTGACAAGTTTGCTCAATGATACAAACAGCATACTCAGAAAGATTAGTGGGCTGGGTTCAAAAAGAGTGACTGGAGTCTTTGATGAAAATGTTTTATCCATTTAATTTTTATGCCAAGGCATTTGGGTGCAAGAGGAAATTAACAGGTTTGTTGGTGGGGTTTATGTGGACAGCAGCAGATCAATACACTAGCGAATTTAACAGGTTTGTTGGTGGGGTTTATGTGGACAGCAGTAGATCAATACACTAGCGTAATATATTGAATGCTGTCAAGACAGGGAGAGAAAACATGATTACTTATTACATCATAAACAACAGTGCCAAACAAGTTAGTTGACAGATTATCCTTACTGCACATCAAATCATTCAGTCCATAAGTGCTCAGATTTATTGCTCGGTAAATCCTGCAGCGTGTAGCGGCTCACGACATCAGTTCTGTGTTGGTTTCTTATTCTTCTTTGCTTCCTGCAGTGCTTTTGTCTGACCACACCCCTTTTAACATGTTCTTCTTAAAGTCTGGTCATGGTTGCAGATTCAGTGAATCCCTTGGTTCTCTCAAATGTCTCACTTCTTGTAGAACATTAGGTCAAGCAGCATTGTTCATGACACATCAGCCTGCTATGGTAGCTTTACCTGCAAGCCTATCAGATTGCTTATTTCCTTGCATCCCTGTGTGCCCTGGCATTAATATGAAACTCATACGCACAACCCCGACTGCCTCAGAGATTCCAACCACTGTCTTCGCACCTAGACCATCTCTATTTTCCTGAGCGTACTCAATGAGTCACAGAGAAACCATACATGGGTTAAGGTCTGTGTCTCCAGCAATGTATAAGAATTATAACTCCAATATGAACCACAAAAGCCCATGAGCTTCTCATGTGGCAAACCACAAACCCATCAGTGTGAATGACAGCATCCCCCTCTACAGAATTCTCAAAAATCAAGACCTGCACCGTGTTTTATCTGCCTGCTTATCGCTGACAGAAGATGTTGCTGCTCAGTTTGCAGCCGCCATCACTCTCATCGCAGCCAAGCCCTGCTTGGTATTTATTATCACCTGGTCTATGTGCTCAGTATAAGAAAGACTACGATCCAAGCTTATTTCATTGCCTGCGTTCTTTCCACATTCTCTGAGCACAGACTTACAGTTGGCGCAGGAGTGTTAACAATATGGTTATCCAAAGAAAAGCATGTCACTGCTGCCTTTGTTGGATTGAACAATGCATCAGCCTCTCCACACCATCAATTGATTATGCGGTTGAGTTCTGTTTGTGATTCTCCAGCAACCTGCTCTATATCTTTACCCTAATGTTGTCAGCATACGACAGTGTCTTCCCCTGTCCTGTGATCTGTTCACTGTGTAAACACTGAACAGCACGGGAGATAATGGTGATCCCCGTAGCATGTCAGGATGTACAGCTGTAGGTTCAGAAGACCAAATGCCACATCTAAAAACTACTTTCCGTTGAAAGAGAGCTGTAGAGATCCAGATAAGAAAGAAACAAATTTACTCTGTCGTATGCATCCTTTAAATCAATTGCTGTAGCACATGTTTCAATGCCATTGACATCATTGGCAAAAAACTGCTGCATTAGTCCAGGTTTTTCTGTTTGGTGCCAAAAATATAAATTTTTTTTTTAAATCTACATGGTGCACACTGCCCACTCATCTTCTACAAATGTGAATGTAGATAATCCACTAATTCTGCCAAAGCACTTCATCAGAAATTACCACTTGCGTGTGTGGTTATGTCAGTGTGTTGCTGTATCCATGCATGATGATAGTTGGATTTCATATGCCCGAACAGCATTTTAAATAAAATGTCCTAATGTGCAAATTAAACGTTTTTGTGCATCGTTTTCATTTTATTATTGTGGGTTTTCCACAGCATTAAAGGGTTAAATTATCATTCTTGGAAGTTTCCCATTTTTAAGGTCTTCTTTTAGCCCTGTGAATATTTTCCAACACCCATCTGATGAGGCATGGTCACCAGAAGTACACACTGGTCTAAAAATATAGCAACACTAATGAAACCAAGGAAACTCTGCTGACAAGCAAGAACATCAACATTTTTGCTTCAATTGATTCTTTAAAAAATGCAAGAACACAAGGTACCAAGGTCTTCTTTAGCATATCATCCTTAAAAGAGAGGTTGGCATGTTGTTTACAGCTAAAAACCACACAGGGAGGTGAATGAGTCCTTTAGGGTGACTGCATGTACATACACCCTATACAGATGACCAGTTACTAGTTTACAGATCCTATATACAGCTGACAAACATATATCTTTCACCACACAGAGAGTGTAAATGGGTCCTTTAGTGTGACTGTATGTACATACAATGTATATAGATGACCAGTTACTAGTCTACAGATCCTACACAACAGCTGACAAACATATATCTCTCACCATACAGAGAGTGTAAATGAGTCCTTCAGGGTGACTGCATGTGCATACAACCTATACAGATGACCAGTTACTAGTCTACAGATCCTACATAACAAATGTGACTTACAGCCGAAAACATGTGTCCCTGCTCTCAATCTTCCAACCTTTCTTGCCTATTAGTTTTTCAAGTTCTTCCATCTGCAAACGAAACAATAATTATGCCATAACTGGATCTGTTGGATAGCTAATTCAGAAGTTTAAACTTCAATGTATGTTTTCATGTTCTTTGTTTATGGATGTATAACCTTATTATACTATAATTCAGTTATGTCTGTTTTTGTTTTCTTCTTAGCATTCACCGGCTGTAAACTCCAGCAGAAAGTTATAGTTGTTCATCCATTCCTAAACTTTGGTCTTGAAATTTGCATGCATTTCCATCTCATGTATGCAGACTGTGAGTTCTTCGCCTCTTAGACAGATGCACTATTTTGAAGGAAAATCCCCCCAATTAGTCGCCTTGTATAACATGCCTGTTAGGAAGGCGGTGGATGAATGTTTTCATCCTAGAATGGAGTCCAGAACCCACACAGGGATGTTCATGTTTCAAATTGAAATGTTTGATGTTGCAGCATTTGTGTCATCTTGTTTTTGTACTAATTGAATGTTTTTTTTTAATCTTGTTATTTATTGCAAATAAAAATAGAATCTGAAACAATCTTTTTTTTTCATTCTTCTGTATTAGCCCATAAAAGGGCAGCCGACAGGTTGTGCTGTGGTTTACAGCTATGCTGTGATATCTGCACCTTTCAGTCTACTCTTAATTATCTTCTATGACATGTTTGTTGAGGAAGCATAGGGGGTCGGCTGATCTATTCTCTCATAAAAGAGCGGTGGAACGCCCATGGGGAACTAAAATTCAGAAGGTGAAAGTTGTAGTAGAAAGTGCTTGCTAACAAGATAAAAGCGAGGGACAAAGCGGAATATAGAGAGGGGAAAAAATAAAAACAAAGAGGATAAAGAGGGGAAAGGGGGGGGGGGGGCCAATGCTAACAAAAAAACGACAAAAAGAATGAATTATGAAAGCACTCACACATTTGTTGAGTTCCAGTCTCAGTGGCTCAGCCTCTGGATGCAGCTGTTTATTCATCTGGTATGTTAGAGAGGGAAAAAATTAAAAGATCTACAAAGTAACTCAAGTTAGATATGCATACAAAGCTAAAACATGCATCAGAACCTGTTTCATGTCTATAATTTCCTTAGTAGTCACATCTAGATAACGAATTTATGCATTTATAAAACTGTCTTATCATGCAGCATTCTTTCCTTTTTTATCAGATTTAGGTTTTAAAAAAAAAATAATTTCCAGAACCTTGCCCAGAGAGATGGTGTCTCATTCAGGAGAACCAGGTTGAAATCTTCAGAAAGATCATGGATTGATTTCTGTCAGGGCAAAAATTAAATCCTAACATGTATAGACCCTGGCACTCGTCATTCAACCATAATTCCTCAGACTTAAGACACTTGTGGGGGAAATCTGAACACTGATGGATCTGTCAGGGGTGCTGTGATGATAATCCTTTCTAATCACTAATCACACTCGTGTTCAACACCGTCACAAAAGTGATAAACACAGGCAGTTATTCTGGTTTTTTTAACATCTTTTTTTTTTTTTAGGTTGTCATCAGGTAAGTTAGTATCTTCTGTTGTTGATATCATCCAATAATTTTGTTCAATCAGATAGGTATCCTGTTATTGTCATTCAATAATTTTGTTGAATCAAATAGGTATCCTCTGTTGTGAATGTCATCCAACAATTTTGCTAAATCAGATAGGTATTCTCCGTTGCGGATGTCATAAGACAGTCGTCAGAAGTGCCAACAGTCTAACATTAAAAATGCAGTTCATCGTTAATGAAAGCAGCAGTTACAACAGATCAGTTGTTGGCTAACAAAACTATATCTTTTCAGTCTATTTATGAAGGAAAATGAAGCAAAAACTTGCTCAGACTATAAAGAGTAAACCAGCCTGTCCACCATATTGACTGGCAGCACCCAAAAAACATAATACAGAAGTCTTGAGTGAATGTAATTCACAAAGAGAACTGATTACCCGCACCAGAAGTAGACTATCCACATTCATATAGCACACCTAGAATGGGAAAAAAAAAAGGGGGGGGGGGAGATGGAATACATTGCAGAAACAGTAAAGTTGAAGGGGAAGAGAGAGACTATGAGAAAGAAAGCTGGATAGTCTATTATCATGGCATGGAAGATATGGTCAAGATCACATCAGCCACTTAGGTTGGACGTTCTAGTTTTCTTGGTCCCTCTGTTTCCCATTTCAGTGCCTGTCTGGTGATTCTCTGTCTCTTCTCAGAATGTGTCCAATATAGCGTCATCTTCTCTGTAAATGTTGATAGTAGCGGTTGCCCAGACATTTAATTACCACAATCACAAATTATTTTTGTTACACATATATAGAAACAAAGTATTTCAAGGAAAGACAGAATACGAAATCAGACGAATGCTATGAATAAAGCCAGTCATCAAAGAACAACAAATGAAGTGGTTTGGACACCTAACAAGTACGCCCTGGTACTATCTGCCACAGCGATCCATACTAACACGTTACAAAAGGTATAAAGCGAGTAGAAGACCTAGAAAAAATGGAGTGATGGCATTAAGAACAGCCTTACAGAAATGAACATTCTTAATAGTGATCTTGACAGAGCTTATCAACGAATGTTACATCTCCCCCGACACTTCGCTGAGGTACAAGGTGGAAGAGAAGAAGAAGGAGAAAAAGACAGAAACAAAACTCCACCTCTTCCTTCTCTTGATCATTCAAGTCTCTCCTGACTGTCAGCTCACTTTGCTCTGCTGCTTTTGGTTTCTGTAAAATGTAAAATAATGTAACTACATGAGAGTGTATGGAACACGAGAACGTATGAAACACGAGTGATAACACTAAGAAACATTTAGACAGTTGATGCCATCAAAATTAGAATGTATGAATCATGAGTGATATCAATATGACAAATTTATACAGCTGATGCCATAAAAATGAGAATGTATGGAACGTAAGTGATATCATTAAGACACATTTGAGACCACTTAAACAAAAGCAAGTGTCAGTAGTTACAGAGAGAATTAAAGCTTTCTGTGGTATTCTATGGTTCTTTAGTCAGTTAGTCGTGCTTCCAGCTTAATGACAAATGTATCATGCTCATAATCGCTCTTCTCAAGTGCTAACAAAAGCCAGATAAAATGCTTATCACTGTTCCATGGCCAAAGGTGAACAGGGAGTAGTCATGGCAAAGTCAACAGCTTGCATCTGCTTTAAACGCATAAAACAGTCTATGGTTTTTTGAGATACTGAATAGCTTTCGTGATGTTTAATGGTTCATGTGATACTCTTTATTTTTTTTTAATGCTCTATTTCAGGGTTAATTTATGATATGCTATGGTTCTTTACAGGAGCCATCATAGTGCAGCAGCTAGACGTTTGCTAGCAAATTGGAAGGTTCTGGGTGGGGTCCTGACAAGGCCGGACTTTTTTTTAAATGACATTGGCTCCCAGGTTGATCTAGCCTGGCATGAAAAAGGGTTCTTACCTGTACATATGATTCTTTATGATAATCTCTGGTACTTTATATATATTCTAATCAGATATGCTTAGTTCTACTGATAAAAATACCATATTATTCAGGTATGTGGAAAAATATGCTCTCAAGATATACTGATTTCCTCTATACAAATATATGAATATTTTGTTGTTTCTTCGAGCAGTAAAAGTAATCCCCTGTAATAATTCTGAAGAAAAATGGGCGTAGTGGAAGCTTTGAATTTCATTAGAAAACAACAACTGAAATGGTTTGGCCACGGATGCCATCAAACAGTATACCACATCAAGCAATGATGTACAGACCAGGCAAAAAGCGAAGAAAAGGCCAACCATGAAAACGATGGACAGAGGGAATAACAGAGTCCCCAGGAATCCCCATCTATGAAGCACACAAACAGGCACTTTCTTATAAATTACCACATAAGGTACAAGAAGAAGATCAAGACGAGATGAGACGTATTATATAAATAAATTGCTACCTTACCTAACTACTTAATGTTTTCCCAGCATTTCTTCACAATTCATCTTATACAATTCTGTAACTTGGTGTTTGGGTCAATCACTAAAATGTTATTTTTGCAATTTCTCGTTTGGGGTTTCATGTAAACTTCCTCATTGACCTTTACAGTACTAAAGAACAATTCATGCACTGATTAATAACTTATTTAAGTGTCCTCTGGTACCAAGAAAAGTTACCCGATTTATCCTTATCATTTGATGTATAATACTGACTCACACTGAACATTTCTGCCAAGTCTGTTTATACTGTTATGCTTTGGTCTGTAATTATTGTTGTTCTCTGTACAATGTCTTCATGGTATTAGGAGCGTATCTGCCTCTTTGAAGTTCTGAGCTGGGCCAGGCTGCTCCAGGTTCCCAGGAGTCTTTGCAAGTTTGTCTGCCTTTTCATTTTTAGGGATACCACAATGGGCCAGTATCCAATGAAGGTTGGTTCGGTTCTTGAAGACAGCACTCTGATGCTGTTTTAATTTCATAACCACTACAACAAAGTGTGTGATAGATTACAACAGGCTTTTCTTTGCATTCCTTAAACGGATTTCAGTAAAAGGCAGATGGCACTCCTAACTGTTACCTGAATAAGTGATGGCAGGAGAAAGTCCTCCTCATCAATGTCTTCATCCAACTTTTGCTGCAGCTTCTCAATTTCTTTCTCCTCCATAGTCCACTCGTCATCTTCGTCACTTGCTGTAAGAAAAATCGGTAAAATCAGTAAAAGTATACAATGCATACATATATATATATATTCAGATAGACCCAGGTTCAAATCCTCGGTAAGGTTGCAGATTTTTCTGTGGGGGGGGGGGGCGAAAAATAAAATCATAACTGCACGGTCCATGGCCACAGCACTAGTCATGCAGTTCTACATGGTCAGGTTTAAAAACCCCCTGCCTCACAGCAAAATTGGTAAATACCGGCAGTAACTGCAGTATCTGTGGTGGGTTTACCTGCCAAGACAAGGATCTGGATTTACTCCACAGAAGAATGCAGCTCTGTGGCTCAGAGATTTAGTGAACATCTGTCATAATCCTTGATACAGAAAGGGTTTGATTTTCACTCTTAAAAAAATGTACTGGCATCAGTAGGTATCTTCTTCTTTTCATTCTCTCTGCCAGTGGTTTTCAGATGAGAAGGCTTCAGGCCTGTAAGGAGTCTACGGTGCTATGCATGTCTTCCATTGTTTTAAACAGCTTGATTTTTATGAGAATGCCACCCCCGTGTGGGTTCCGGGGCCTTTTTACAGGGAAAACAAAAAAAAGACCCACTACCTACCCACATGTATGTCTAAGAGTCAACTGATTGGGAGCTTCCTTCTAAGTCGGATTGCATCTGCCTGAGAGGCAAGGAACAAACAGTCTGCACACAAATGTGTCAGATCTGTCAAATTAATGCACATGCAACACTCAGGTTCTGGAACAGGACTGCAGCCCAGAAGTGGACGAAAAACCAGAACTTTCCACCAGAGTTCACAGCTGGTGAACGCAAAGAAAAAGATTAGAATGCCAAGTGGCCAAACCTGGGTTCTCTGTAGTGCATGTCTGTAGTATATGTTCAGTTTTCTGTGGTGCCTATATACCCAACCTTAAATGTTCTGTACACATGGCTGCAAAGTCTTAAGTATTTTTCTGTTTCTTTGTTCACGGGCTGTAAGCTCCGGCAGAAAGTCCTGGTTGTTTGACCACTTGGACTCTGGTTTTGTGCCAGGGCCTGAGTTTTGTGTATATATCCATTTTACTGGCTTATTTGCGTACAGCTGGTTGCTTCTTGTTGCTCAGGAATATGCACTCTGACTTCGAAGGAAGCCCCCAGTTAGTCGACTCCTATGACATATACTTGTTGGAAAAGCAGTGGGTTTATTCTTGCATTCCCCACAATGGGGCCCCGGAACCCACAAAGGAATCTTAAGTATTAAAACCAGCAGGTTATATTGGTAAATTTATCGAGTTCTTCTACCATATGCTTGCTAGGGTGCAGCAGGAGCATATTAATTCCCCCAAAAATGGGGGGGGGGGATCAGAACACATATAAGGGAAATACCAAATCTAACAGGCGTATGAAATATAATCAAGAGAGAGATTTAAAATATTTACACTATCATTCAACTGAATGCTATCTGGCATATCTATATATCATCCAATCAAATATTTGCTTACAGTATCTTTCAATTTAATTTTACAATATTTATAGTATTACTCAATTAAACAATAGATCTAATATATAAATTATCAATTTTTTAAGTTATAGGTGAAATGTTTGTGAAATTTTGATAATAACAAGTCAAATAACAATAATCTGCATTAAAGCAACAACAAAAATATACGTTTAAAAAAGAACATCACTATTTTTACTGAAAGTATATTGTTGTAAACAAACCATAAAATGCCTGAAGGTCTTAAGAGATGTGATTTTACAGAAGAATGCTTACAAACTATGCCTTGGTTTGGACAGTTAAAAGTCAATAATGTACATGTTTGGACTAAAAAATATTTGATGATAGTTCAGGTGGCTGCAAATTTTATAATACCTTGTCTACATTAAACAACAGTCAGGCTGTTCATTAAAAAAAAATGCTTTTCTTTATACAACAAATTTTTTTTACTGCAACTAACATCAAAGGACCAGATGCAGTAAATGTAGAAGGTAGGCTATTGTCTATAATGCAAGTGGTGGGATTGTCATTTGTGAGAAAAAATGCTGCTTTTAATATCATCATCATCATGTGCCTTGCCGACTGGTGTGCGGGCGATCATGCCTCTCCTGCAGCATGTATCAATTTGTGCGCTAACACACCTCCATGCCATGCAACAAGACTGTCAAGAATCTTCTCTCATTGTCTTCCTCTATCCCTCCTTCCACGGATCTTTTCAGTGGTCACAACATGTTCCATTTTCCCTCTTCTCTTAACATAGCCAAAACATGATGACTGTCTCCTCCTGATGTCTGTGATGAGGTGTCTCTAATATAGACATTTTTTAAATGCAATGCACTAAAGTTATCTACATCTTAAAAGCTCTGCAGGCAAAAACATTAGTGTTGACTTACATGCTTGTTTCGGCTTTCGCCTCACTCCAGATCCATAGAAGGCAGTCCTCTTGTTACCCCAAGACTTTTCTGGGGCATCTATAATGGAGGAAAATGTCAGTCAAGTAAATCATAATCGTGGATCCATGATTAAAATATTCCTTCACTCTAGAAACACTATTACAAAAAGTAAATGCATTAACACTGAAGTGACTTTTTTTTTTTTTTAAACAATATAAAAACTACATAATCACACACATGCCAATTAAATATAGTAAAAGTAACTAGGCAGATTTTTTGTTGTTAATGTCCCCCAAAAATAGGACACATTTGATAAGGTTTGAAATGGCTATCATCGGTTAAAGAAAGAAAAACTATCTTCTCAAGGTCTCCCTGATTTGTAATAATCATGGAAACTATAGTACTGGTGTATAGAGCAGAAACATGAACAACTAAAACAATTATTAATAAGTTGCAAACATTCATTAACTGGTGCCTCCTCAGAACCGACAGAATTAAATGGTACACACACACAAAAATAACTCATATGAAGATTCGGGAGAGAACTAAACAAACTGATTTCTATTACTCAAGAGGTGAGGAAAAGATGCTGGAGATGGACAGGACACCACTGAGAAAACATGATAAAATAATTTGAATGTTCTTGCATTTGAACCGGCTAGGTAAAAGGAATAACAGCAGAGTTTTTTTTTTGTTTTTTGTTTTTGTAAATATACAGAGAAGGGAATTAGAGAGGGAAATTAAAATGAAGGGGAGGATATGGGGCAAATCTACTTGCATCATCAAACATTAGGATGGCCTGGTGTGAGTTGATATTGTGAGTATATGCTTTACTGGGGGTAAATGTCATGGTTCCTTATTTATCCTTTTTTTTTTTTGTGCTTTTTCCACCAAGCTTGCCAGTTGTCAGCAAGTGATTTAGTTTATTTCTTCTCATAACAAGTGCAAACAATCTTGACTGTCTACATTGAATTTCTTTAACCAATATATGGCTTCATTTGACTTGTCTAGTTTAAGAATGGAGGTGTAGGCAGTCACTGCTGCCTTCTGTTGGCTTGAGAATCAGCTGTACACACGTCATCATTGTAACCGACTCACCACGGAGCATGTTGAGACAGGTGAAGACAGGCATGCTCCGTGCAGAGTGGCAAGCATCACTTCAGAGGTCCTGGGCAGTTAGCATACTTTAGATATTTTCTCCACGTTATTCCACTGTGTTGGAAAATGAGCGGGCAGACAGACTGGTCGGTTCTGCACCACTTGGTGGTGAACAAGCTGGATGTTGTGAGGGCCCTTTGGGAGAGAGTGAACAGTGCCGAGGACCGACGCTCAACACTAAGGAGAAATGCGAGACGGATATACAATCAGACAGTTACAGGTACTATCGGAATTTTAATTTTTCGCTTGCTGCTGAAGATAGGGACAGAGCTCTTATGGGGTGTCCCAAGTGCTGTGATGTTGATTCTTAATTCAACATTTGCCTTGAGAAAGACCGCCTCATTTTTTAAAAAATAGTCCATGATATTCTTTTCATTTTTTTTTTCAGAAATACTTCCAATTGCAAAAAAAAAAATTTGTAGTTTGTTTTTTTCTGCTTATTAACCATGTTTACTGTGCAAATAATGGTTTCAATTATATAATGTTAAAATACTTTCTCATCATGATTGACATCTTCTGACTGGTATGTGTCTGCATCCTACAAAAGGCTACTTTTGCCTCAAACAATTTCCCTGGTAAACTGAGTTGTTATTTCTGTCATCGGCAAAAATAAACCATCTTAACCTGCAATTTGTCAGGTGTCAGATGTTTCGACTTAATAAACCAACATCATACTTTACAGACGTAACGAAACAGTCACTGAGTTTTCATAAGCAATTACTTTCCAAGACTGAGACATACCCGAAACATCTTTCTTCTTGTCAAGTTTTGCCTGAAATTTCACCTGCTTCAATCGTTTAGTCCACTCCCCGATTTCCTCATCACTTTCATCATCTTCATCCACCAAGCCGAAAATTTCTTCCTGTAGCATACATAGAAAACATAATGTATGATGTAGATAATGAACATCTACATATTCAGACAACAGATAAGTCACAATAACACATTTTTTTTTTAACATCAAAAGAAGACACTCAACATCATGAGAAGGGAAAAGCTGAATTAGACTGGAGCACCTAGTAAGATTAACAAAAAAAAAAGAGATATAAAGCAAAAAATACATTCCGTTACAAGAAAGCACATGAACTGAAACACTGTAAATTAAAAATAATCTCAGAAAAGTTAGAGAAACAGAAGTTACACTGACATACTTCACACATCAAATCAGGTCCTGGGAAACAGGGGAAAAAATGTGAATCACCTACTAACGACTGAAAAGATGATAGCAAACTTTATTTAGAAAGAGTGTGAGCATATCAAAGTGAACACTGAAGAACTGATACATTCAACTGGAGAATGGAAGCGGTGAAGGAGATGATCATCCATGTCAGTTTGTCCCACATTTTATGTTATGGATGAATATACAGAAAGAGAAATTGGCAAGAGGACCAAAATGGCTGTTTACTGCTCTACCTATGTACCAGTCCTGACCTACAGGTGTGAGTCATGGGCAAAGACAACAGCTCACAAAAAGCCACAAAGTCCACAATCAGACAATACGTCAAGATCTTGATACCCTTACAAACCCTAGTGGATCAGTCAGTTACGATGGTTTGTACATGTATGCAGAATGGGAGAAAATCGGCCACCATGGCAGGCATAAGAAGCTAAGAACCAGGCAACCAGACCTCCAGGACAACCCAGAGTGCGCTGAGAAGACAACTTCCGACAGTAATTAACTGACAGAGGACTGGAATGGAACAAAGCCAGAAAGAAAATTGCTGATAGAGACGTCTGGAGATCTCTCTGGCAAACCTTGACACCCCAAGGTACAAGAGGAGCGACTAAGTAAGTATGAATATACAGGATTGTAATACCTCCGCGAAAAATAATGCCGACTCAGAAAGATGATTCAACAACTGAAATAATTTCCAATGCTTTAACTTCTTTTCTTTCTCCAGTTACCTCATTGAAGTAGTGGGTTGGGGAGTAGAGGTGTAAAGATCTTCTGCATGCTCTCTCTAATGCACTGTATAAGTTCACTTGTCTTTCTTTAAGACTGGCCTTGATAGTCATCTCATTTTTTTGTTGTTGCATGGTCTTTCCTTGCTGTGTTGATTATTGCTTCTTTGAGCTCTGTGGCAGCTGCTACTGGGGCATTCTCACTAGATGGCCAGACCATTGTATTTGTTGCTCTTCAGTGCCTTGTATGAGTTCTAGTTTTCTAATTTCAGTCCTAATCTAATTTTTATTTTTATCTGTTCTTGTGACTCGCATCAGCTTTTTTGAGACATTTCAGATGTTATGATTTTGCACTTATTACTTGTCACCAGTGTCCAGGTTTGACACTGGTAGCAAAAAGCTGGCCACAAAAATAGTGATTAAATGTGCTTTGGTAGACAAAAGTATTCTTCGATGTATCAACAGTGGTGTTAGTTGTTTCAGCACCGGACGGTTGTTGCATAATTAAAATTAACACATAAAAAAATTTTTTTAAATAACAACAAGCTGCATCGTAACATTAAACAGCTTTGCTAAACAATTTATGCCTGGTTCTTACTTCTTCGTCATCGTCACTGGCTTTCTTGTAAACATCTAAGTCAGTCTGAAAGTGTTAAAATAAAGCATATTAATTTGATGGTGAAAGCAGAAATTACAATTACATATGGATTTATCCATATTCTTTGACTGACTGACTGACTTTCTACCCCACCAGGACATCACACAAGCGATAAACACTCGATGACACAAAGTGCCACCATGTGGATGAGGATCACCGTGGAGAGGTCCCAGAAACCGCGTTCAGACAATTGGCCACATTTATGGCCTGCCTATATTGCGGCCCCTCGCAAAAGCCAGGGCTTCAAAAAACAAAAAATGTCATCCTAAAAAGGACGAAACTGGATGTGTATAGATATCATCCATATTCTTTAATGGTTTGAACACAATGTGGTTTAGAGACTGCAAACAAAAACTACATATACAAAACAGATGAAAGGGAACAGACCACAAGGTAGACCAAGAAGGCAGCAGAGAGATAATATCCAGGCAAATCTACAAACACTGGAAAGAGGACAATCACAGAGATGAACAGAGGCAGGTGATATCTGCAGCAATGCACCTTAACTCTTTCTGGCCCATGAATTTAGACAGACTTGGCCCACATTATTTCCCTTTACAAAAATGGCAGAGGGGGTGGAGTACACGAAAGGCAATAGAGAATGTAATATACTTCTAATCCCTATAGAAGTATTTTTTTTTTAAGAGAAACTAATGTACATTTTGAATCTGATGATAAGTGTTAGTTTAATTTTGTTATAGTTAGTAGGAAAAAAGAATTCAGCAGGTGTTAATTTTACAATAAAAACTTTTTACATATACATTTTTCACTTACTGTTTTGCGGCCATAAAAGTAGTAAATATCCAAATTTGAGAACAAAACTTGTTCAATTTCCTAACAAATTATAAAGTTATAATATATTGCTCGGTTAGGTTAGCAATCAAGGGCTCTTAGTTCTCACAGAGTGCTAAGCAAAATTTCAGAGAAAAAAATGGCAGAAAAAGGGCCATAACACACACTATTTATTATTTACTTTGTACAGTATGTACAGACTGTAGCTGCAATGATTTCAGAGTGTAGCTTAGCCATAGTATAGTACTGTCTCTTTGTTTGGAGCACTTTAATTTTCTTACACCAATAATACAGTAGTAATGGAACATTGTCTGTGTAAACTCATCAGAATCGCTAGATTCATAACAGCTGATCATTCAGCTTTGCTGATGAAAATATACCCTCCAAATCGCTTTTTGACAAATCTAAATTTTCATTATTATTATTTGAATTACAAACATCTGACTGAAACAATTTCAGAGCTTCGGCCGCAGAAAGACGCGTGTTGCGACCTGTACATGTGGTTAAAACATTGGTTTTTATGGCACTCAAAAATGAACTTAGGAAAATGTACTGTTGAAAAAAAATGTTGCTGCAAATCTGTTCAAATTACGCGTGTGTGGCATAGATAATTAATGAAACTAAAAGGATTTTGGCAGAGTGACTTTTCCCTGAATAGTTTAATTGTACTTCCGAACATTCAAAACAAGTACACAGCCGTGTGTGAAGCAAATGTACAGGGCGCACGATTGACAATTTTAGCAGTGTTTGGGTAAAACGAAACTTCTCAAACAATGCTCACACCGCTGCGTGGGCCTCAAAGAGTTAATGGTATTGTATGCCAAAGAAGAGGTTTTAAAATCTTGATATACTTAGGTACACTTTCAGGTGTGGGAGACTTGGTGGAGATATGTTTTTGTTTTGACAAGTGTGTGAGCTAAAGCAAAACCTGCCAGGCAATAAACTGCAATGTGTTGTTTGTGTCCACATTATTTTATATTTACAATGGTAAAGCAGTGTTTTTAAATTCTTACTTTATTTCTGGCATCAGTGAACTCGCTGATTTCATCAGTGAAAATGTCTCCAACATCTTCATCAGACTCCTCATCACTTCTGAAAAAAATATTACACAAACATTCAACAGTCAGAGCTCTGTGATTATGTAAATTATAATTTCCTGTTATACACTGAATACTTTCCTTATCATAAGCAAGACTAGTTTACCAGCAAACTCTGACTAGAAATTCTGTTGAATAAAGAATCAACATCAAAGCACTCAAACACCCCCATAAGCGCTCCGTCCCTATCTTCAGCAGCAAGTGAAGAATTAAAATTCTGATGGTACCAGTAACTGTCTGATTGTACATCCGTCTCGCTTTTCCCATGAATGTCGAGCGTCGCCCATAACCCCTTGCAGTGCCATTCTCCTCGGACCGTAATGATCTGTCTGTTCCTCGACACATCCAGCTTGTCATACATCATACACTCTGACTAAAAAGGGTTAACAACATCCAGAAGTCCCACCTTGAGAAACTATCGTGGCGATAAACCAAAATGAAATGACAGTCTGACGGTGACTGCAGTAGCTGGTGAAGGAAGAAGTTCGGACAGAGCAAACACACTAAATGCCCTGCACTGTAGAGACTGACACGAGGCAGTCAGGGACGATGAACCGCCTGTTGGAAATGGGTACTAAATGCAAAAACAGGTTGCAGGTTGAAGAAAGAAGAAATGCCAATCAACTCCTTCTGGATACACTGAGCATGAAGACACTCAAGTGGCTGCTGTACTGCATCTTCAAATTCGATGGCCCACCCAGCATCTACACAACCCCAGTTACGTTGATCAGGTCATGTAAACCACGTGTCAGACCAAAGCTACCTAAAAGAATCTTTGATGGTGACCTACATTAAGGAAATTTCACTGAAGGCAAACAAAATAAACACTTTCAAGGACAATCTAAAAATATGCTGTGTAAGAACTTTCAGTGCTAGGATTGGCCTTATCAGCCATCTCTTCAGTCAAAAACATCCCTTTACCTAGCAGATTAAAGGAGTCACCCATTAATGCATAAATACAACTGAGATTCAAAATATTCACAGTTGTGTCTGACTTTGAATGCAATTTGTAGATTTTTACAGACCAAATGGCACTCGGTGGCTGCTGTTACAAGCAGTATCATGCTGGCTGCCTTTACTTCTCAAAACATTCTGTGTTTTATTTAGGCCGGATGAAACCGGAAGTCCAGGTTTATTTTCAAAATCCGCCTACAGAGGGGAGCCACCATGGTGTAGCAGCTAGACACTTTTCTGTAGATCCTTAGGTTGTGGGTTCAAACATGACTGGAGCCAGACTTTTTTTTTCAAAAGAACCTTGGTTCCCATGTGGACCTAGCCTAAAATGGGTAACAGGTAAAGTTTTGGGAAGTAAAGGTGGCCAGGATGCTGACTGGAGGGCTTCCTTCGAAGTCGGAGTGACGGGAGTGCATCTGCCTGAGGCAAGGAACCAACAATGTGCATATAATGAAGTTTGATCTGTTAAAACGCAACACTCAGGTTCTGGAAAAATAATAAAGTCCAGAGGTGGACAAACAACCAGAATTTTCCGCTGGAGTCCCGGTGAACTCTAAGAAGAGAAGAACAGAATTACTGAGAATTCACATGCACACTTATTTATACTTATTAATTATTAACCCTCTTAGCACGGACGGGCTGATTATCGGCCGGCGGATGTCTGGCCAAAAACACGGAACGGCCGATGATCGGCCCGATCATGTTTCGCCTCGAACCGCTAAGAAATCTCCTACTTTGAAACACTGAAAGTGATTCATTTATATTAACTGCGGTATCAGCTTTACACATGGCGACTTTCGAGTGTTTGGTATCGATGTGAAAATTGTTGTTGAATTTTTTAGATAGTGACCTGAACCGCTAAAAGTATGACTGACTCGTATGTTTCTGCCCCTAAACTTGATGTTGATAAAACATTTGAATCAAGTGATGACACTAATTCTGTTGATACTGATGCAGGATTTAGTGTTAGTAGTAATAGTGGGAATCAGATGGGGACACTGTTGTGTTCAGACCACAGCCCAACCATGGCTCAGGGTATATCCACCCGAAGGTGTTGACACTCCGGCACATCCATTTCTAGTGCTGACTGATGGTGAAAAACACATGTCACCTAAAGATTTTATTGCTGTTTCACATATATATACCTGTTTTTGACTATTGAATTGCTTACATTTGTAAAAAGGCCAAAGATCAATAAAAAGATTTCAAATAAAAAAAATTTGTGTTTTTACTTTTATGTTTCAAGTATTGAAGTTGAAAATTCAAATTCATATTTTCAATTTTTAGATATGCAAATGAGATAATTTGCATATACATCAATTAATTTTAACGATATTGTGAAAATCACGAACTTCAATCTATATCCTTCAAATAGATATATTATTTCATAGGGGTCAGAATAAGAGAAATCTGTCAAAAAAATTAAATAAAGTAATAATCAAATTCACTGAAAAAATGCTCCGTGTTTTTGGCTAGACCTCTGAAAAACTTCCCGTGCTAAAAGGGTTAATCATAATCCATGGCGTGTTGTCTTGGTAATCTTGTATATAGTATACTAATTAATTAGTATATCCCAAAAGTGCACAGCCTTCTGCTTGTCTAGGTCTGATCTCTCCGATCGTATCAACTGTCAATGTTCGGGTGTTCCTGTACTCAGCATTTACTGGCTGCTACACTGCGCTACTCACTACGCTTGTCCAAGCGCAATCAACAATGACAATCCTCTTGAGATGTTTTTCTGTGCTATAGTCATGATGACAAACTGTCCAGCATCTTATCTTTTTCAATATCATAGGTAAATATATTAATCTTACTTACTCTTTTTTCGTCTTTGCCCACTTGGCCGCTTTTCCTTTCCCTTTCATCGTGGCTTATTTAGTTGTCGACACGCTGCGGCCGAACTAATGTTATTTACATTCCCCCAAATCACGTGTATCCGGTCTATGCTATGGTTGCCACTACTACAGTTTTATTTATGACAAAATATATTGGTCCACAGTGTTAGTAATAGAAAATAAATGTACATTATGATTTTATTTTAAAAGTACACTAATTATAAGAGGAACTCCACGACGGGAGCATACGCGGCAGGATCCTACTTATCTTCAGTAGGTGGTTCCCCCTTCAACAATTATTTTGGCCAGTTTCTCCCCTAGACAATCTCGCGGGAGTGGGGGGGGGGGGGGCGAGCTTGGGTCATGACTCCCGGGCCTCGGACATCTCTAGCTGAGCGGTAGCAAATTAAATTTCTAACTGTGTGACAAATGGACGGCTGGTTCATCGGACGGTCGTTGGCAGTAGTAGCACCGGGGGCAGACACTGATCAGACACATTTGGCTTAAGTGATTTAAAAGTTCTTTTTCACTAGTGGCTCGGACTAGTTTACCGAAGCATATCTCCCACGTTGCTCCAGTGAGTCCATAGCCAGCTCGAAACTCTCTCCACAGCTTCACCCAATTGTTTTAGGGCTCGTTTCATAGCAAGCCCAGCTGTATCAGTACATTGTTTGTTGAGAAGAAGATTACCCGCCTTGCGCCTAGCTCTTTGGAAAAGAGTTTTACTGCGTACCCCTCGTCACTCCTCAGACCAGCTACCAGGTCACTGTACTTCTCGAGCTTGAACAGATGTTGGTGCTACTCCTGGGGCACAGCTCTCTTCTTTCTGAATTTCGATGTCACATTTAGGCTCGTTTTTGGTTTGCTACTCGTAAGAGTCAATTGTCAGATTATTGACAAGGAGAAAGATGATCGTGTCGATTGTGGTGACAATGATGATCTCTTGCTATGTGCATGCTTCTCACGTGACTTTGATGCCTGTGTAACAAAACCTATTAAAACAACTCTTCCTTTTAATGTACTTTCTTTATTGTCATCTCTAAATGCGATAAATAACATCTGAAGTATTCGCAATTGAGGCTGATTTCTCTATATATTTATATACTCGTGATATCGAGTTGTGTTCTTCATCTCTGTTTTCTTGTGACCTGGTTCTTGTATTTGTAACAGCCTGACTGGTACTAACTGTTTAAACACCTACTCTAACATCTTAGTAATGTCTATATCTAACGTGTCTCTGTTGACCATAGACCCGTGTATCTTGCCTGCTGTTTCTGTAGTTCGGTATCTCGTATCATGTATCCTCTCGTATCATGTATGTTTTTGTGGCTCCAGACTACCGATTCTTCTCTTTCTAGTAGTGAGCTGGCATCTCTAGGACTGAAGGTTCTTGTCTGTGAGAGTCGATGTGACTTGTCCCTTCTCTTCTATGTTTTGAGGACTGAAGCTTCTCGTCTGCGAGGGTCAATACGACTAGTCCCTCTTCACCTGAGTTTCAAAAACTGAAAATTTCTCAAGTGGCTTCCTACTCACTATTTATACAGAGATGTTGGGATGTGTGGAATGTGTATTCCACTCTCCGACTGCTCCTAGAAGGTTCTAGTAGACTCAGACTTGTTTACTGTCTATGTTTTCAATGTCAGATTTGTTTTTTAATTGCGTCTCGATTGCATCATCTAGTTCTGCACTTAAATACAATGATTAGGTTGACAGATGGCTTTCTAGTCTTCGAGAAAAGAAGTGCGACAAGTCTCTCTCCGATAAGGCACGTAAACAAAAGTACACTAAATATTTTGAACAAAGAAGACACAAACAATAGATTGCGCAATTTATTGTCTGTCATATTTCGCTGTTTCTCGCCAGGTGCATACTACAATAATAATTACATAAATGAACCAAAATAAGTGAATCCTTTATAAATGAAGTTCAATTTCTGCAACGATTAAACACAACATGACTGCCTGTTTTTACCAGGGCAGCCGTAAAGATAGAACCATCTCTTTCTGTATACAGAGTTCCGGGCGCAGGTGACGAATCGCGGAAGCTTCGAGAAATCTTTGCGTTCTGCCATTGGTTGACGTATGAAGGATTTGAAATGCGTTGTCCTTAGCTACCACGCGTCCAGATTTTAGAAGATGGCGTGCTATTGCAGAGGGGTGATCTTTGCGGTCAGTATTCTCATTCTAAATATGATTTTGCATGGCTTTTCCCATCCAAACTGGAATGTGCCCAGCGACTCGTTCCCCGGGCGTCGATCAGTCCTGTCCACATATGCAGCTTCACAGCTACATTTAAATTGGTAGATACAATTTGATTTGGCGTACGTCGACATTGGTTGTTTTACCAAGGGCGTTATCACGGGGGTATTTTTAAACCTGATAATTGCGAAATATTTTAAAAATAATAAGGTTATTCATTTGCATAATGTCTTCTGTTAATAAACAAGTGATGGGTTCTGGCAAGGGAATGACAAAGTTGTTAAGATTTATGGATTTTCAGACTATTCTAACTATGCAAAATAATTCCTAGCAAACAAGTAATGGTTCTAGAAACAGTTGTGTTACACCATACGGCACGCTCAGCTTTATCAGGATGAGCTGACTCTCTGCACCTGAGTGTAACACCATGTCCAGTCTTAGCCGTCTTTTGGATTAGCTCAGGGGGCCTCTCAAAACCAGATAGGTCAACCGCCAGTTGCCATTTCAGTGCACCGTCGAGTATGGATGGAGCGTATGCGACTTTCTTAAATGTATCTTTAGAAATTTGCCCAGCCTAGAGAAAACACGTAAGGACTGGCTCTCACGTTGATTCTCATCCTGATTTTGTCCAAAGTGTCGCCAGGTTTTTTAATGTTTTTTAATTTTGTTAATGCGACGCGATGGCTTTTCTGCATGCGAATAATACGCGCTCGAGTTTCTGCTTGGCTCTGCACATCGCCTTCTCTAGATTCTCTAGATAAATAGAGAAGGCCGTGGCTCTGCACAGGGATCATGTTGAGTCGTTGGTTGAGCCCTTTGACAAAGTTAGTGCCTGAGACTACATATCGCCCGCAGATCTAATGGCAAAGCTCAGTCCCAGTGGAGTCATTTGCCAAATCTCACGCCAGGAGAGTTTTCGTGGCATGGCACACTCGAGACTGAGCAATTAGCCTTGCTGTGAGTGCTGGGCTGCTTTCTGGACCCCTAACTCGTTCGTCGCGTACTTGATATATTGCGTCACCTTTTCTCTACGCTCTTTGGCCGATGCCTAAAACTACCAGGTGATATTCCCCTGCCCGCTAACTTCGTAAACCAGCAGCGGCCAAAGGAGCTTTGGAATCAACATGAAATGGAGACACCAGACCTTGAACTTCCAGATCAGTCTGCTCTGTTCGATTGCGAGCAGGCCTGTCGCCACGGACTTTGAATTTCCTGGACTTTGAACCAGCTTTGAACCATAAACGCGGCTGAGACTCTTCACTGGTTCCTCTAGAGTCCCGAGGATCGTTTTGTTTACCATCGTGAATCTGGTCCCCACCACCTTACCTTTACAGACCGAAACATTCCTTGACTTCTAGGGCTTGAATTGCATGTTGTGCCATTCGATCACGCAATCAAGCCGCTGCAGTATAAGGCCTGCGTTATTTTTAAGGCCTGTTATTATAGTCGTGTGGTCCAAATATGCTCTCAGTGATGGCATCCAGTTATCCCCCAGTCTAAAGGCCCTGCCCGTACCCGGCAGCCCCATCTAATATAACCTGTATAGACATGACGAACAGTACAGGAGAAATCGAACAGCCCATCGCTATATACTCCCATCGAACATATCAGTCCAAAGTCCGGTAATTTTTTATATTTAATACACAGTCGATTCCATATTAATTAACGAGACGTAGTTGACAAGCATCATAGCTGTTAGTTTTCCTGGAGAGAAAAACAAGGTGCAGGTACTCACTACAAGAATCGTTTTTTTTTTTTTTTTTTTATTATTATTAGTGATTTTGTTTTATGGTTAAATTAAAGAATGAATGCACCCAGAATATTCACACACACGCGCTGTCTCCCGCATTAATAGTCAGCCTAGAGATCCCTAGCTAATAGTGTCACCTGTTAACTGACTACAACATCGAAGTCAGAATTGACAAATTCAAACCAAAGTCAAAAGTTGTTATCAAAGGGATAAACATTTCGGACAATATTTCCCAAATTTCCGAAACACTCAAATTCGAAAACCCACGACTCGAAATAACCCACGCTTCCCGAGTGTTAAAGAAAAACTGCCAACCCACAAACTAACTATCTCAGGGAAGGATCCCCCCCCCCTCCTCATATCACCTACAAGAGCATAACAAAGCACTGTGAACAGACTGTGGAGAGGCATAATCGCCCATGCCAGTCGGCTAGGCACTTGATGATGATGATGATGATGTGGCTATACGGTTAAACGGGGTTTGTGGGGTTTGCACCTGTGTGATTCTCATTCTTGAGATGTTAGTGCTGCAGACTGGAATCACGGAAGAACATCGCTCAAGCCAACACTGACAGTCAGTCCACCATCCCCGGCCGAAGTGCAGAGGTCAACTCAGAACGGCCCTGACTTTGCCTGTTTTTATAAGGAGTAGAAAATTATAGGGAAGAGAAAAAGTTGGTAAGAAACAACAATTAGTTTATGTTAGCTTTACAAAATCGATCACAATAATCAAACAAAGGACGTTGCGGCGATTAGCCTTCATCAGCACATAAAGGACAACACAGTACACAAATAGGCTCTAACTATGAAGTGACTACATAGGACTCTAATGTATAAAATTAACGATACTCATCTAGTGTCCTTGGCGAAAAAACTTCGTTCAAATGAAACGACGGTCAGCCTATATACCTCCAACGCGCAGGTAGGGGCAAAAAAAGGACGGGCTGGACGCCAACAGCGTACACTAAGTGTCTAAGGAGGGAGGGAGGGGTTGGCCTATAGGGCGTAACCGGGGTTGGGTTGTGGGGATGACCTTAGTCCATCCGCGTGGAATAAAAGTGGTGCCTGTGCTTGTAAACAAA